AGGCATTGCTAAACATTTGTCACGGTCTACATGTAAAGGACGCCAATGACGCTCCTTACCTGTTAGATAGTTAGAGATGGGAGATAAAAGAGATGTGTAAAAGATGCTAGGAGACCAGTTAAAGAGGGTTTCATTTAAGAAGTAATAGGACTAACAGACTTTAGATGGAAATATCTCAAGCTATAGGGATGGAAAGAATAAAAGAAAGGACAGGCGCATTCTCTGAGGCTTTTGGCCCTCATTTACTTTCGGCAATTTTTAATAAACCATAAATCACAATTTAGAAAAAAAATAGACTCGAAACTGATATGAAATAATAGTAAAGAAAATTCAACATATTTTGAAGATGTTGTTTGACTCTTTGAACTTACATATCTGTAACTATTATTCGATGTGGTTCCAACTTCACTTTCCTTTAGTTACTTCAAACTATCGTTAACCTAAAGTTCAATAATTTTTCTGTCATGAACTAAGTTGGATTGGTGTAGCTGATGTTTGTTTTAGTTAGTGGCAGTGTCTTACCCCCACCATACGATGGATGCAACCATTTTTGATTCAAGCCATAATTTTTGTACGTAAAATCCATTTGATCTGCTACTATTCTAAATCTTTCTCGTGTATTCCACTCCGTAAATATCTGTGTATGTGTATCTGTGTGTGTGGCGAAAAGTTTTAAGGACATTGATTTATTTAACTTCGATTAATTCGTTTCGTTGCTTCGACAGCACTCGTGTTCGGCGGTGCAACGTGTGTCCACGGGATACAGACATACAAATACATATATATTTTATATGTATAGTATGTTTGTGTATGTGTGCTTGTGTTTAGTGTATCCTTTTTGGTGGACTTTGGCACGTCTTGTCTGGTGGCTCTCGATTTCATCTTCGCTACCCACTCTTGGGATTAAGTTCTTTTTGTCCCAAAAACGTGACTGGGTGTCGTTTTCAGCTTTACTCGTTGTCTATCCATCGATGTTCCATTCTCCCCCTACTGCTCCTACTCTACATCCTTCCTTTTTATACCCGGTACTCGAAGAGTAAATAGGGTATATTGTATTTGTGGGGAATAACGGTTGTATGTAACGCACAGAAGGAAGCGTTTCCGACCCCATAAAGTATATATATTCTTGATCAGCATCAATAGCCGAGTCGATAGAGCCATGTCTGTCTGTCCGTCTGTCCGTCTTGTTTTTCGGCTAGTTCTCAGAGACTATAAGAGCTAGAGCCACCAAATGTTGGCTCCAGACTGCTGTATGCTCACACTGAAACCAGTGTATTTCAAAAATGAGCCACGCCCCATTTCGCCCTCGCAAAAGGGCGAAAACCTCCCAAATCTACAGTTTTGAATATAAAAGAAAACTAAAAACGCCATTCCGTAGGAAATGGCCATATCTATCAGATCACCAAATTCGGATCCGATCGGATTATTATTATAGCCACAATGGAGATATTAATTTCCAGTGGCTAAACCCACCCTGTCCCGCAGCTTTTGTTGTTCTTTTTACATTCTCTCATTCACACTCTGCTTCTGTTTCACTCGGCCCCTGCCTCTGCCCTCCCCCTACCCATTCCTCTTCCGACTTTTAAACCACCCCGTCCCGCAGCTTATATTTGTTTTTTTTTTGTGTGCGGACGGTGCCTCTGCCTCGAGTCTGCAGTGTGTGGGTCTAGGGAAGGGCGGCGCTAACGGAGCGTGTTGATGTGGGAAGTGTTGTAGATGTAGATGACAGATGAAGAAAAAATGTAAAATTTGACAAATAGCCGTTAAGGTGCAGATGTAATCCTGAGTGCCGGGTATAAAAGTTGTGACGCGTAAGAAGCGTATCACACGTCCCTTCTCGTTTTCTTTGCTTTTTCTTTTAGTTTTCACTCTCCTCCTTCCCTTCACTTCCTTAACGCATTGTTCTCTTTGGGTCGAGAGTGTGCTTGGGTCGGTTGGTGTGTTTCTTTGCTGGTGTGTCTTGGGTGTGTGTGTGTGTGGCTTGGGCTTGATTCTTACTACAGCTGACATGCTGAACATAATGGGAATTGTGTGAGATTTCTACCTCTCGCTCACTCTCTCTTAGTTTAAACAGTTGTTTTGATGCAGTGTTCCCACTCCTTCGTTATCGCTCGCTAACTTTTCCTTATCTACATTCTCGCTTCCGGTTTCCGTTCGCTCTCTGACTATGTTTTATTGCATTTCAAATGGTTTCGATTTTCCTTCCATTTGTTACATTTAACACCAGTTTAATTTTAAGCGATATTTAATCTCCATTCCTGTGAATTGAAATTGAAGTAAAATTTTATTTTATTCCTTATATGTCTTTCTCTTTTATTTTCTTCCAATGTCCTTTGTGTAGCTTCAAGGAAATGTGATACTTTTGTATGCTGGACAGAGCGGATTAATTTCTTGTTGCTTATGTCAAATAGAATTGTGGATTGTTTAATTTAAGTGGTTTAAAGCGTTTCGAAACTGTTTCCTAGAGTAAACCATATTTCTGAACAATTTTTTTAACATCAAAGCAAGAAAAGCGCTTTAAAATCGTTGAATTCTTGTGCTTTATTTATCAGACATTTTCATCTTCTAAATACATTTGTATTGTATTTTCCCGAAATTTTCCGAAATAATTGTTTTTAATTATTTTTCAGACAGTTTTACACACTTAAATATAAATATGAAACATTTTGCAGTTCAAATTCTTCCTGTTTTTTGTTTGCCAAATAGTTTTATATATGTCGATGTAAATATGTCATTCAATTCGATAACTCAATCAATTTAAATTAATTGCAATGTAATTACTGCCATCCACTGAATCACGGACTGTTCGCAACGAATATTATCAAACATTTTAATGTTCTGGCAGGCAATTTGGGGGAATCCAATTACATTTGCCTTGCCATCTTTAAGTTCCGTTTGGGCGGCAAATAAAGGCAAGACAAATATACAGATAAAGGGTGTGTGTGTTTGGTGGGTGGGTGGGGGGGGTTGGGGTTAGAGTGAGAGAGAGTGAGTTAGTGTTGTGGGGGAGTGGTACCTGGAGCCCATAATTCACTCGCATACATCGGATGTGGCGAGGTCGCTGCCTGCCAGCCCTAACCTCTCTCCCGCTCTCCCTCTCTGTTTCCCTCGTTTTGCCGGATATTAAAAAAAAGAGCAACCAAAAAGGAGAAATGAAAAATATTTGCAAATATGTGGAAAATTCAGGAAAATGTTGCATTGCCGCCGTTAAAAACCCAGCGACAGATTGAATTACCTGCTGCGTGAGAGAGGTTTTATGAGAGGGAGAGCAACACCCCGGCTGAACGGCCGAATGAGCTTTACGCCTCAGTAAGAGAATGACCCCCGTCCGAGCCTCTTTCTCCACTACCACTAAATACCGCCGATACGATACGATACGATACGATACGATACGCTCCAACCCGTGGACGGACACTCATGGGTAATTGCATTATGCAACTATTGCCAGGCACAGGCAGGCCACAGTCCCTCCCCCCAGCACCTCTCCCGCATTAAGTTTTGTTGTAGCCGCTACCGCCGCAGACGTCACACAGGTTGAGGTAGGCCTCATAGTGGTAAATGGGACGAGAGGGACAGGGAGCTAAAAGCGAAGGATGTGTGCATGAGCTGGAAATGGATTTTAACCAAAGCTCCTTCGTGTGTGTGTGTGAGCCTTGGCCACAGATTTGGCACAGAGCAGTAGAGTAGAGATTTGGAGTAGAGAACTTCCGCCACATAAAAAATGCAACCTATAAAACATTTCAGATATTTGTTTGGTCAAACTGCAATGAAATGCCATAGGGGAGAGAGTTGTGGAATTTTGGTTAGAGTTTACTCTTTGTCCCTTACTGAAAAATGTGGATATGTTTGGGATATTTTTATTTGTATATATTTTATTATTACAGTAGAATCTCCGAATTTAGAAACACCCCAAGAACCAAGTGGTTCTATATTCTGAGACTTTTGGGCTCTTTCTAAATTTGGAAATGTTATCAGTTCGGCGAAAATTATAAAACTTATTTGTGGTGCTATTTGTTTGTTCTAATTTTCTGTGTTTGTATATAGGGAATGAACATTAGTCCTGTACAAAAAAACCACTTCCAGTAAGAGCTCCTCTCTTGAGAATAACAGCATTTATGTTCATATTTTGTTTCATTCTGCGCTGAGTTTTTAGAGGCGTTCTATTTATAGTCCAAAATTAAGTAAACATTAAGAAAAATAAACTAATAAAAGTAAAGAAAATGAATAATTATAAATCCAATTCAGCAAATATTTATTTAGTTTGCCCCAAGCTGAAAAAGACATCATCAATAAACTTTAGCTTTTATTGCCCACCTAAATACAATATTCACAGATTTTCATGGGGAGTTGGGGAGGTTTCATGGGGGAGCTCTAGGCTAAATGGAAACTATTCACGAAATGTAACTATTGGGGTGGCAGGTCGCGGAGACATGAACATTTGTGCGCGTTAATGTTTGGCTTTAGGTATCACTTAATATGCCTGTATGGCGCTGCCAGACTTTACTACTGCGTAAATTCCAACACCTTTACTAGCACTCAACCTTTACTCCCTTTCTCAATTCCTGTCTACCCCTTTACTCCCACCCGCCCATGGAACCACTTTCAACCCCCTTTGAGCTTAGTTTTGGTAGCAGCAAAGGGGTTTCTCCTTCCTTCAATGCGACACATTTGGTTGGGTTGTGCCCATAATGTTTAATTTAGTGGCAAGGCTGTCATGTTGTTGCAACATATACGCCCATCCACGCTCCACATCTCACGCCCTGCTGCCACGCCCATTGTTTCCTTGGGCACACTTTTGGCATCCAAATACGCCGTTTCCTGTCTCTTTCGCACTTCCTTTTTGGGCCGCCCATGTTTCTTCCCCTGCCTCTGCCTTACTTTGCTAATAACAATAATTTTCATAATTTCTCTTTGCAACCTTTTGTGGGGGGGTTGCAAAATTAACTTATATTTAGCCCTTATGCTAATGTTGTGTACAATTTTTTTACGCTATTTTCCAGGTTGCTGTTTTGTGACATTCTTTACGAGACGAGCCGCACTGAAGGCGCAGGATGCTTTGCATAATGTGAAGACACTCGCTGGGGTAAGTTCTAATCCTTGATTGGAGCAGCCTTCACTTGGCTCTTTGCATACAGAATTACATCATTAGGATTGGGGCAACGATATTTGCTTTCTTTCACCTTTAATTGGAATTTCAGCTGATGTGACCGAAACAGGAAAAAACTCTATAAACTTGTCATGAAATGCCACGCGGCTGACAGGACAAAAAGGCAAAAAGGAAGCTAGAGTGAGGGAAAGAGATCGGCAGAGTGAGAAAATGGCGGATAGTGAGGGAAAGGCAAAGCAGCAGCCTCATCTCACCTCCATCCCATCATCATCGTGGTTCCTAGTGTCCTGCTGCTGCCGCCTCCTTCATTATGGCTAACTGACTCTCTGACTGACAGATTGACTGGCGTTTGGACAGACAGAGCCATGACACCGCATACAAAAAGATCCCAAAAAAATATACCAACAGAAAAATAAAATAAAAATGCATACCAAACGGGGGAGCGGAAAAAAATCACGCAGCACAAAATATTCCTTTCCTATTCTCCTTTCTCAATATAGTTTCGGTTTTTCTTTGTCTTTTTTCGGGTTCTTTTCTGTTTTTGTCCGCACTGCACAGTTGCCTATAAAATGCAAGTTATTTCAAAAGTTTAGCCTTGTATCTTGTGGCAGCTTAAAAATGAGAGAAGACAACGAAAGAACGTACGAAAAAAAAGTACGAGCGAAAAGTGACGCAGAAAAAAAGAAGCGAAAACTGTTAGCACAAGACACGTACCAAAAGTTTATCTTTTGGGATACCCTTCCTGCCAGGGCGAGAGTTCAAATTTGTGGATTTATTTTTTAAGTATTAAGAACTATCTTCGATTGGTTTGTTGTAGAGCACAGAGAAATAAAGGGAATGAGTAGAGGTCTAGAAAATGGCAAAGGCCCAAAGGAATTTTTTCATGTAAATTTATGTTTGAAATCTTTTGGAAATTGGAGAATATTATAGATGATAATCATAGAAATTGTATTCAGATTCAGATTCAGGTCTTATGAGATTTTGTAACTGCACATAATTTTACAAAGTTATAGCCTTTCAACTGAGCATCAAAAGAATATTTAAAACGTTTTAAAGCGAATGGCAATCCTAAGGGAAAGGCCATGCATGCTTCGGTGCAACGAGCAGCGTTTTTCATTCAATTCTGTTTTGGTTGGCAAAAAGCGAAGAGAGAAAACCACAGGCACAAAAATGTCAATTTGCACTTCGGAGCAGCAGCCTCAGCAGCGGCAGCAAAGCTCTGAAGAGTTGTCAGCGAATAAAGAGAAACGTGAAGGAAACGTAGCATAGGGAAAGGGAGGGAAGAGCACGAAGAGTGGCGGAGAACGAGGTTGCGTGTGAAAGATAGGGCGCCACGTCAGCAAAAGCGAGCGACATTTGGCAATGTTGCGCTTTTTTTTCTCACTCGCTTCTTTGGTGTTCTCCTTTTTCTGTAGCGCCATCAAATAACCATTGAATATTATTATTATTTGAAAGCCATGTGTTGGCTAGAAGCAGAAGCAGCAGCAGCAGCAGGGAGAAAGAAAGGGTCCTCCTAGGGACAATGCTTATGTCATCACGCTATCGGCTTCAGAGGGAAGCAAGACCCAGACCACGACCGACGACTGACATAATTTGCATGTACTCGTAGCCTCTGCCGCGCTTTGCTGCTGCTGCAGCTGCGATATTTATTTTAGAACATTTCTAGCGTGAAAAGAAACGGGACCAATAGGGGAACCATAAAAAGGAAGAGTGACATCGAATGTTTGAATACTCTTGCAAGCGCCTGATATTTGAAAGTTTTCTATTTTGTTTCTTTTTTATAAACAAATTTACAATTTAGAAACTCAGTTTTTTATGTTAAGATGGATGGATGTTAGTATTTTCTGGGTATATTCTAGTATTTTCTGGTGATATTTTAGTCTTTTATGCCTGTATTATAGTATTTTCACTGCTATTTTAGTATTTTCTGTAAATTTTTTAATATTTTCTGGTATTCTTTCTTGATTTATTCTAAGATCAGACTTTATGTATTTTAATACATTTTTATATCGTATTTTTGCTGCTATTCTGCTGGAATTTTCAACGTATTTAGGAAATATTTTAATACACTATTAAATACATTATCGGCCTATAAGATGCCATGTTAAATATATATATATAAAATATATATTATATATATAAATTATATGTATTATATATTATATTATTATTATATATATATTTAATATATAAAATATATTTCCCTCTCTGCCTTACAAAAATCCCATTAAAATCATAATACATTTACATGTAGAGTACAACAAGGCGAAGCATTTGAAGCAGCCGCTGGCGGGGCAAACGCAACAGAAGGATAAAAGGACAGAGACATGTGCGTGCTGCATTTGATTGTGGTTGCCGCTGACATTGCCGTTTCTCGTTGCCTCATTTTCCGTTGGACGGGTTGACAGGGTTCGGCGCTGGCTTGTAATTTTCCTGCACAATTGGCGATTGTTATCGGGGAACATGTTTTTGGTTATTCATGTTGATTGGTAAAATTTTCTATTGAATGAAAGGGCATACAAAAAATTGACTAGCGGAAAGGGGAGGTTGTAACAAGTTTGTGTAATTTTTAGGTGTGGGTGTTGGCTTAAGTTTAAGCAACATTTATGAATTATGAGTGAATATTTTTTTAGGTATTGATTGATTGGAAATTTGTTAATTTTTATTTTATGTAAATTTATCCAACAATTTGTATTCAGAAATTTTGAAATTTTTTCAACTGAGTCTTTAATTTAAAAAATCCATTTAATCCCCTTTATTATCAAAATTGCTTGAGCCATTATATCCTTTTCACTTCCTCACATTTCCATCGATAAAATATCTAATATAGAAAATTCCTGCATTTCCCAATTTCCCAAACTTTTTGCCAGCCTATACCTGCCAGGCAAACCGATAAGTGCCCCAATAGAAAACAGTTCTCGGCTATAATTTAACCAATTAGAAGCCAAAAACAGTCAACCACAAAACCAGTTGACATTGTGAGAAAAAAGAAGCAGAAGGAGGAGCGGAGTCCTCCCACCGATAGGTGGGTGTGTATGCCATGCCGCCGCCTGTGTTTGACTGGTAATTGCTACTTCCTGCATATAAATAAATTGGCAAATGAGAAGGAATGATGAAGTAGGGGAAGTAGCATGAGCAGGGAAGAGGCAGCGGCATAGGCAGGAAGAGAAAGAAGCAAATTAAACGAAGGCCTTAAGAAGAGAGCAATCTTAACCCGAACCCTATGTTGACTTGGACCTACTGCAATTTGTAACAAGTCGCGTTGCGTGTATTATTTACGGCCAGAGTCCAGGTGCCAGTACATACCGGGAAAGGGAAGCACAAGGACATTGCCTTCTACGGTATACTGTCGTCGTAGTCGTTCTGCCGTTCTCCGTCGCCGCCGCCTGTTGCCAATAAATCACGCGCCATTAGCCTCGCGGTAGGTCCTGCTACTAGTCCTAGAGCTGAACACGTGACGGCTCGACTCCACATCGTGAGAGGGTTTAGAGTCCGCATAGTCACGAGGCGCCAGCTACACTGGGGAAATTATGTATAATGATTTAATTGTTCATTGGAAATATTTTGTAATTATTATGTATTTTATCTAGAGCTGGGATTTCTTACTTCGGTATAAATTTGGTAATAAGAGTTCTCAACACTCACAAGAATTTTCTTTTGAAAAGAAACCATATGAACCCAAAAACAGCTTACATGTGTGCATGATTCGACTTACTTTTTCTCTATGTGTAGCAAATGTGCAGCTTCTGGCCTCGTGTCCATTCGTTGTGTTGGTGTGCGGACGAGCTTAAAGCTCGTTTTAATTAGAAGCATTCTGTGTGTGTGTGCAAAAAATTACATTTAAAACACGCTGCAAAGTCCAACGCATATTTTAGGATTTTTCCGGTGGACCCAACCCCATTTCTTCTTTTTCCTTTGCCACGTCCTCATTCTTAGTTCCTTTTTAGCGACCGCTGAATAAATGTGTTTGGCTTTTGTCAAGGATTTAGGCAGAAGCTTTGTGTAGTTGCTTCTCTATGACTATAAGGAGGGGCTGCTCCTTTTGCCCGTTGCCCGCATTCCATTCATTATGCAGCTTAAGTGAAGGGTGTCCAACCCTCTTCCCCTTCAACTGCAGTGTTAGTTTTTGGCGACTGCATTTCAGGCTAAAGCTTTGTAAATTAATCGCGGTCTTCGACCCTCCTTTCTTTTTGGGCCGTAGCATACTGCGCTCTACTATTTCAAATGTGATTAAAATGGTAAATTGGGAGGTGCGATACGTTAGATTTTAACAAGAGAAAGTGGTTGGCTTTGAGAGCTGTGCAGAGTGCCTGGCCTTTACGTGGAACGTCAATGGAATTTTCGTGGAATTTCAGGGGACTATAATTTGTGATCTCTGATCTTTGATGGCTTATCTCTCTCTGGCCTCTTTCTGGCTGTCTGCAGCACGTTTACAGCAATGGAATAACCACAAGAGTAACGGTCCGCAAAACTAACTCCTGACATATTGTACGCCATTTTTTATTGTTTAAAAAATAACTTTAAATAAAATGAAAACCGCACATATTTCTAACATATCTTTATCCGTATTCTATTCATATATTTCACACTAAATTTCTCTCCTCTATTTTCATTACAGATGTATCATCCCATTCAAATGAAGCCCGCCGATAGTGAGAATCGCAATGGTAAGTTTTTTGTTTGTTTATTGCTAAAGAATTTAACCAATTGCGGGTGTGCAATTGACGCATTTCCTGCGGGTAACTAAAAGTATGCCGGCACCGAAAACATAATTGGGCAGCGCCAACAAATCAACAAAACGCATGACCCAAAGTGACCAGCGAGGCGTGAAAAATATTTCCTTGTATGTGCTCTGTGGAACAGGACCAACTATAAAATTGGCGGCTACGCTTGCATGGGCCCATGCCCCAAAGAGAAAGTATTCTGAAAATTGATTTCCTATGTGAGAAAAAATGGTGTTTGAAAATATTTTTGAAATAGATTTTACGGTGGGATTTTTTTATATAATTTATTTGGGTGGAAACTTGAGCTTCGCAGTTGTTATTTAAATATTATAATAATATATATAATTATAATTATAAATTTATACTCAAATAATATTTATATTATTCTATATATTCTTATATCTGTAACTCTTTTCGTAACTCTATGTAACTCTATTCCTAAAAAATACGCAAACAAAGGAGACTCACAGCGAAAGTGTGACGGAAAATAACCGATCACCGACCGAGTTTGATTGCGTGAAAAAAACGTGGCATGCCTTAAAGCGGGCAATAGCATTTAACAGTTTTATAGGTCCCTCACCCTGAAACCCCTTTGTGCTGGAACTTTCTGTCGCTGTCAGTTGTCGGTCACTTGGCAGTTAATTAAAAACCATCAATTATGTGAGCCAGAAAAATGTTTAACACAAAAAAAAGTTGCCGAAAATGTTTGTAATTTATGATAATTTTTGCAGCCAGGACAGGAAGCTCCACGTTGCCCAAGCTAGCCATGATATTAATCTGCTTAAGTGACCACAAAAATGTTGACTTTTAACCCACACAGAGAGAGAGAGAGAGGGAGAGAGTTCGAGCGAGGGAGAGGCTCAGAAAGCGCGCTTAGCGTGGAGAGCGCGGGAATGCCATTTTTAATTGTCGACCTCTAGCGGCGTTTATTGCGAACAAGTTGTAAAAAAAAGAACGAGTCGTGTGGAAAAAGTTTATCTGACATTGCGCGGGGTTTCCTACCAAGTGAGGAATAATATAAGCCCCTCCACAAAGCCACCTTCACAATTTTAGCTCTCTCTCTCTCTTCCTGCAGCTCCTCCGGATCTGGTTATCGCGTTAGCCCCTGCATCTAGGAGCTGTATGTAATTACCCTTGTACAACATGGCGTATGCTTAATAATTCTCTCTCTCTGTGTTTTGTCTCTTTGTGTCCATGGAGCATGAGTGTTTGCTTAACTAATGTTTTGGTTTTTTTTTTCCCTAATTTTTTTTGGTGTTTGCTAATGATGGAAATGATAGTTTTCCCATATCGGCTAAAAAGGGGTTTGGCTTATAAGCGGAAAATGGTGGGAAATTAGAGCGGAAAATAGTGCGAAACTAACGCATAGGGATATTCTCGAAAGTGCGTTAAAAGTGAATTGTTTAAACTGCAAAATAAATGTCAAATATTAGCGGAAAATATTTTGAAATTTTGTAGTAGTTTTTGCCCAACTTTGTGCAATTTTTGTAAGACTTTTCCCATTCTTTAACTCACATTAAATGAAATGCTTTCGATAAACTTTGTAGGGTATCTGCATAGTCTGTCTTTGATTTCATTACAAGTGGGTGTGTCTGTAGTGTATGTGTTTCCTCCTAAGTGCATTTGTGTGTCGAGGGTGTTTGCCCATTTTCAATTTCAGATAAGCCTTTTTTGCCTGGCTGCCACTAACGCCGCCCGCATTGCGCCTAAAACTAAAAATTCAATGCAAATTTTAAGTTGGACTCGATCCAACATTTGCCGCATTATAGACACGAGGGGAGTACAGCCCCAGCACTTGCCATTCAATTTCCTAGATTCAAAACAAGAAGGAGAAAAATGTTGCTGCTTGTTTCGTGATTTGGCACTTTAACCTCTAAAAAAACCAAAAACTACGGAAAAAAATGTTCGTGGGCCGAGAGCAGAAGCCATATAATAGAGACAGAAATATTTATTTTTTCCATACTTTCCAACGTTGGTTTACCGCCAGAAGGGCGGAAGATTGAGGGGAGGGTGCGGGAAATCGAAAAAATGGTTATAGAAAAAGACAGTCAGAGAGAGGAGTCGTCGTCGTCGTCTCAATGTAACAACAAACGGAAGGTGGCAATTTAATAAAATGGTTGAGTGAGTCGCCGAGTTTTTGTTTCCTGCCTTTTGGCTCCACTTTTTATGCCCCCACCACACCACCCCGGAGCCCCCTTTGAGTGTTGCATACCTTTTGGCATGGCAGCAAATGCTAAAGAGGACACAAGCCTTTGATTGGTTTTCTCGCCTCGTGCTATTCTTATTCCTGGCAGCAGCAGGAGGATGGCTGCTTCTAAGAACATTTTAAAACGATTTTTTTTTAGTTGGGTGGAAGGATTTAACGTGGGAAGCAGAGCAGCAGAAGCAGCCTCCAGAAATAACACAAGATATATTTTATGTGTATCTGTGTGTTATGTGTATTTTGCAGTGCTCTAAAATGGCTACCAATAAAAGTTCTTCAAGAAAAGCGAGTACAATGAAATATTTTTCGATGTGTTGTCTTTTTGGTGCGCAATTTATGCATTGAAGTCTTGAGTCTTTTCTCAACATTTGAAAAATGACATTAATGTAAGACAAAGAATTTTGTAAGATTACTTAAGTGGCAGCTTGCCTTTGCAAATCTTTTTTGGGCTACAGTCAGAGAAACATGTCAGATTAAAAAGACACAGAACTATATTTGGTGTACACATACCAACCAGAAAAAAATATTCAAATATAGTTCTGTATCTTTTTAATCTAACATCTGACATTTAATCTGATGAAATAACTAACAATATATAAAAACTTAAGTCTAAATAAACATACATTAACAAATGTTAAAAAAAAAATAAATAATATATAAAGTATACAGATATTATTCTTTTTTTACTTGTTAAATATAGAAAAATAAATACAACTAGTTTTAAGAAAGTTTTTATTTTTATTTGCAACATCAAATATATTTGAACCAAATAATGAAAACATTTTATAAAAAACACTTCCCTTTTGCAATGCCCTAACTGCATAAATCACAGCCTAATATAATATTAAAATTGTAAGTTATTTTTTCTCTGCGAGTAACTCAAAATCCCATCAAATCGAAATTCCCAATCCCCAATGGCTTGTTTACCTTTAATCTTTCATTAGAAATTCAACTGATGACAAGAACCATTCTTCTTCTCCAAGTGCCAATAACACAAAGCCCATACACACTTTCCCTTCCATTCCTTTCCTTTCATGTACCGCATTCATAAATACCAAACATATGTCTGCATATTTCCACTCAAATTGCTGCAAGACCAAAGAACAAAGATCCAAAGAAAAATTGAATTCAAATTTTATGACACTTCTGCGGCTCATAGCTTTATCGCTGACCCTGTAACAGCAGTAGGAGAGGAAGTAGCACATAAATACTTCAACTGTTTTAAACAGAACAAAGGGGCGAAAAGGAGCGGAAAAGGACTAAGGGAAAATAAGTACAGTAATAACAGCGATTTGCATTAGGTTAAATAAAAGGCAAGACGAGAGAGACAACAGAGCTCCGGCAAAATGTTCAAGCAAATCAAATTAGTAAGCAAAAGTGAGAAAAAGGAGACACCGAATGGAGGGGGGAAATGGTGTATATCGAGGGGGTTGGGGGAGGGAAACTGCAACGTGATAATCAGAGCAATATACATGCAAGCAAACTTCAAACAGACAACGAGCTTAAGGGCTCCCCACCCACAGCAAAGGGTACAAAAATGAAGGAAGACCCAAAGGCGATGTCAAGTTTCCTATTTGCAGGCAAGATGGATAGTGGTGGGTGTGGAGCGGGGTGGGGTTGCCTTCTTAAATTTTCAAATAATCTACAATTTCCTTTTCGGCTTAATGCAGACTTAAATGCGGCCGGAAAGTGGGTACAATTTTATGTGTATATGGGAGAAAATATGATCCATGATGATATGATTCCTGTAGGATAATTCTTATTATTTTGAGAGTTTTCCAAATAAAAGAGAGAGTGCAGGAGAGTCTGTCCAGCCCACCATTTGGAGTAAGCAGCTTCATGTTTATTCCACACAATTTTTGGAGTACGACAACAGAAATTTACGTGGATTGCATTTGCAGAGCAGGAAAAGCAGCAGAACAGAAGTCAGGAAAAATCAGCAGAGGAGCACCCGCAGAGCAGCAGGGAAACAGCTTTCCCTATTTGTTGCTGTTGTAAAAAAGTCGCGAAAACATATGAATTTTTGCTCACTGCATACGAAATCGATATGCAAATGTTTTGCGAGGTTTTCCCCGGCATCAAAATGAACAACAGAAGCAGAAGCCCTTAGCCTGCTCTCCTTCTACTTTCGACTACAACGAATATGATGATGATGATGATGCACGTATTGTTTGCTTGTAAACATGATAAAAATTCAAATTAGCCGTTATATATGGCAGGGCAGGGAACAGGACAGAGCAGCGCCATAGGCAGAGGGCGTTGAAATGCAAAATGTGCCAAGAAATTACGGAAAGAAAAAACTTTGTGTAGGGTAGAACCTTAAGCAAATTGCATACGTATTTGCATTTCTAGCTTGTTCTCGGTTTCGATCTGTTTGTGTATGTGTGGAAATCAATGAAGACTCATGATAATGTCAAGTGAGGGACATGCAATGAAAAAGAAAAAGGGGAAAGTTTGCATCTGGAATGTAAACACAAACACAATTGTACATGTACATATTATGGTGTGGCTTGGGTACCAGAATCAATTGGAGAGTTTCGATGCAATGTTTTTTTCCATATATATTTTCTATGTAAAAACCATGAGGAATGTTGTGTGGAGTCTTGTGGAGTCTGTCAGGCGTATCGCGACACTAAGATCTGTTATAGTCAACTCCGAGGAGTAAAAATTTGATATTTTTATTTATGTACACATTCTGCTGTTCAAAGACTCAAATATTATTATTTTATATTATTTATAT